TGGCCCTGCTCTATGCCCAGTGCTCCAAGGGAGGAAGCTGCTTCCTCCGAGAGCGTTGCCAGAATGGTTTGGGCATGGCTACTCAGATGCCCTGTTCCTCTAACTAGCTTAGCTTAGCTAAGGATTTGCTGTTCCACGTGTATTCCTGGTGTTCTTGGGTATAGACCTGCTGCCTTGCAGGCTTCCTATTAGAGCCAGTGAAACTCTCAGGTTCTCACCCTTTTAAAGGTTTGAAGATTTCTCATTTGTTTACTGAATGAAAAAGGACGTTTAGTATCAGTAAAACACTCCTGTGTTTTGCACAAAGTCTTAAGTAGATGGTTTGCACTGATGCTGTGATTTTTTTTTTTTTTCCACTCCACTTGCTATGGTTATGTAATGAGGTCTTATTCAGGACACAGAGCACCAAAATTTTTAGGGAAGAGTTTGCTGCAGTATCCTTTAAAAACTCAATAGTCCAAATGAGAAATAATGTAAGAATTAAGTCAAAAAAGCAATTCATTAGTCCTCATTAGATAGTTATGAAAACCCAAGTATTCTCACCTGAATTTAAAAATGCAACAAAGTGATTAAAAATGCCCTTCCATTTATTAGCAATTGATAATGCTGGTTTCCATAGCTCATCTTCTGCATTCTTTTCCCAAATATTTGATAGTGCTGGATACATCTATGCAGTGCAAATCTAGAGAAATAAGTGCAAAGATCTTCTCAGTTTGTAAGCGGTGCAGAAACTTCCTGCCTCCATGCATTGTTCACCTCCTTACCCCCAAAACTGTGTAATTTCCTGAGGTAGGTTGAAGGGAGGTGTATGGTCCAAGAGGCTGTCTTTAAAAGACAGAAATTTATTTCTGAAGTGTTTTTTTCCTTATTTTTATTTGTATTTTTGGAATGCCTCAAAGTTGCTTTCTGCTAGTAAAAAAAAAGTTACTTTCTGAACTTTTGTGACAGACACACAATAACAGTAAGGTTTTAGAGCATAATATATGGAAAACAAAGTCAATTAGAAGGTTAAACAAGGATATGCTAATTTCTGTTGTGTATACAAACAGAAATTAATAGCAGACAGAGAAGACATTAAAGCATTTGGAGTGTTTAGGCATGGAGCCGAGTCCTGGAGAATGGGTGAAACTCTCAGGAGTTATTATTATTTATTTTTTTTTGACTTAACTCAACAAGCTGTAATGAGCCTGGTGCTTAGTCACTTTTTTTTTTTACACAACCTGTGGGTTATGCCCATGAAAAGTAGATTGCAATATTTTTGGTCATCAACACTTTTTCTGAAGTCTAAGCCACAGTACCTACTGAGATCCCCTGCTTTTACCGCATGCAGAAAGCTTAATTGAGGTAGTAGAAGTGTGCATTTTTACCTACACAAAACAGAAATAAGATACTCCAGGTTGGTGATTTTCTTCCGCTGAACCTTTTCTAGATAAATGGATTCCTAAATTGAAGTATTATTTAGCAAATAATGTGTTTAAAGGGAAACTTCTTTATGCATGTTTAATAAAAAAGCAAAAGGAATTGGACAGGTGTTGGCAAGATACAGCATTCTTTGCATGTTGCTAATTCACTTCAGTACCTATAATGTGAGCAGTATTTTCATGTCTCTGTAGTTAGCTACTGTCATTTACATTAGTAAAACAGTTACTAACTTCCTACCTGCCTATATACAATAGTTCACTCCTCATCGAAAGATAAGCTAAAATGACTACTGAACTTGTTTACTCTCTTTAATGATGGATTTGTATGATCTCACTTGTGGGATCTGGCAAAATAGGCAAGTAACCTGAATGTCTAATAAAGAAGACTTTTTTTTTCTGACTGTAGATTGTGACAATGTGTAAAACAGAAAAGAAAGAAAAAAGTCTTAAGATTTAAAGATGCTGTACAAATATTCTAAGCAATGCTATCAATAGGTTAACATGAAGTTGTATTAGCCAGCAAAGGTCAGATATGTCAGTAAAGTTTACTCTGCTATTAAGGAAGCCTCCTCTACATCATAAACTTGCAGCTCTAGGTCTCCATGCAGTATGGTTCCAGATGCCCCATACAGCACGGTTATCAGGAATTGCATGATAAATTGCACTCAGAGCAAGTTTATGATTAGAAGGAAAAAAAAAAAAGGCGGGGGAGAGGGGGAGTAGTCGATGCACTGGAGGGCATGTCTGCTGTTTGGAGAGTCCTTGGAAGCTGCAGGAACAGGAGCCTGCCCAAGTTACTTGGCCAAAGTGCCCAGCCTTGCACTAGGGATGGAGAAAACCTTTACCTCAGTGCAGCAGCCTTGGAACTGACTGGGAAGCAGCTTTGTGGGAATGAGACTTGCTGGACATCAGGCTCAATAAAATGCAACAGTGTTTTCTTGCAGAAATGAAGATCAAGTATTGAGCAGCTTTAATCATTGCCTCTGCCAGAATATAGCCAGCTAGGTGAGGGAAAGTGACTCTGCTTTACCTCTGCTCAGTACTGGTAACCTGCATTTGGGATACTGTGCTTTGGGATCCTAGGATGGAAGGAATGCTGATTAAAAAGAGAGCCTAGCAGGCGGCTACCAGAATGGTTAGAGGTTGGAGCTTATGATATACAAGAAGAAATTGTGGGAAGTACGTTTGTTAGCCTGAGGAGGCTAAAGACTAAGAGCAGCTTTTCACTAGCTCAAGGGAGGGATTATAGGAAACATGAGTTCTCAGGTGTGCCTCCATGGGCTGTGCAGCTTGACAAGCGCAAAAGTCAGT